TTTAGAAGTTTATATATTTCGCGGAACGTTTCCGTTTAAATCAATATTTGTTTTATTCTATTCAAATTTATATTTTTTATGTACTAAACAAAGTGTTCGATAGATCGCCGTTTAATTAGAACGGAATTAGAAACATTTTCTCTTTAGCTAATTCAAGAAATATTCGTCAGCTACAAATTATGATTGCTACGCTACGATCTCGGGAGTAGTCGGGGACTGTCGGGAGTCGAAATCAGACTTCGGGATACTTCGGGAGAAATGTTAGGTTAGGCGAGGTTAAGTTACAATCGGCGCGTGTGTCGTGCAATACTGTGTTTGAATACGGAAAAAGGAAGTCTATACTAGCCTATAGTTCTATAGATCTGTACGACAAATATTTCATGCGGTATCTCTGTTTATTACAAATTCGAATAAATAAAAAATGAATGACGAGACAGTGAAGGTCACGAATGACTCAAATGAAGAACAGAACGAATTCTACTTCGAATCCGATCACTTGGCACTAAAGGGTAACAAAGATTACACCGCTTTCCTGAAAACGATAGTTATCCTTCAGGCTCAGAGAGTCCAAGCCGTAAAAGATTTGGACAATCTTATGTCCGTGCGTGCCCAAGCACTGAAGGATCCGATATCATTCGTGGCGCAGTTGCAAAACGGTGATCTTCCAGAACTACCTGGTCCGCAGAAGATCCCAGAGATTCCTTATATTGACTGGTCGCAATACAGCATTGCATTGCCAGATGGACGTATGAGACCGCAAACTCGACATGGACATGTATTACCTCGGATACAACCAAAAATTGAACAGGAAAATGATAAGGTATGTATCGATGTATAAGTGTATATTTGGAAAGAAATTTTTCTATTTTGTTATTTTATTTTACAGATCTTAGTCAGAGGTCGTGCCTTCGATGAAAGTAAACCTGAAACTTTCAATCAGTTGTGGACAATGGAAGAGCAAAGGCGACTCGAGGAACTTTTAGTTGAATATCCACCAGAGGAAGTAGAAATGAGACGTTGGACCAAGATAGCAAATGCATTAGGTATAAAACTCGTTCTACAATTATATAAGCCTAGCTGTAAGTGCTTATAGTTGTAAGAATTAACAAATCACAGTTTCCTCTTTATATTCAATTGATTGGTTCAATTTTTACAACTACAATCACTTACAGTTACATCTATGCTTACGTAATTGTAGAATAGTGATAACTTATGTTGCAAACAAGATACTACAATTGCTTCTTTTTGTAGGGAATCGAACGCCTAAGCAAGTATCCAGCAGAGTTCAAAAATACTTTATTAAGCTTTTGAGGGCAGGTTTGCCCATACCTGGCAGAGGACCTAAGCTAAAAGTGGATGTCAAGAAAAGTTTAATTCATAAGCGTAATAATCAGTTCTTATTTAAACGCTCAACTTTCTTTCCACATCAAGATATTACCTTTAATACATCAGATGAAAGTAAAGAACAGCCTGTAGCAGAGGAATCTGTAAGCACATTATTGCTTTACATAAAATATTAGATATTAGAAAAAGTTACTTCAGTATTATTTTTCAGGAGGATGATACACTGAATGGAGGAAGTGACGATAGTCCTGAGATAAGACAGCTAAATTTATTGCGGCAAGTAAAAGCTGAAAAGGCACAAGACTCTCCTGTGTACAAACATGTTGGATACAAAGTACGTATATTCTTTTAACATGCAGCTATTTGTACAGGTAGAATTATTGCTTATCAATGATATTTTCCTACAGTGTACAGTGTGTGGTGAGGAACCTTTAAAGGGTACCAGATGGCATTGTGCAGAATGTCATAATGGAATTGATCTATGTGGTGATTGTGCAATAGCACAATTGGAGGCAGAAAATCCCTTACACGATCCATCCCATAGATTAATTCCCATAAAACCACCACTATGTACTAGAAGTTATGACTTAGATTATTTTCCACAAAATTTTAGTAATTCTCCCTATAATTATCTCGATCCAAATTTTCTGCCTGAATAATCCAAAAAAAATTTTTCCAAATAAAATACAATGCAAAGAGTATAAGGTAAAAAATAATTTATTAAAAATAATGCTCATACAGTAATAGATTTAGCAGATTCAAGAGTTGATATTCTAGTTGCATATTTTTGACGAATTTTTGTTTGAAGTTGATTGAATGTTCCATTTTTAATACTATCGCGAATAAGGTTGAAGAATTGTAGGTAATGATGAGTATTGTGTCTGAAATTATCATTAATTGTTAATTGATCATATATGAGAGTGATTAAATCATTTTATAAATACGTACATCATTAAAAGTACTAAAGCAAGCATTTCTTTGGTATGATGCAAATGATGGATATATGCTCTTGTATGATTTTGACATGTAAGACACTTGCATTTTTTACAAATAGGAGAGAAGTCGTCTGCATATCTAGGAAAAGAAAAAAATGTGTGAAATCATGTATTATTTAATTATTATGTTTATATATTTTTGTATTATATGTTTGTTTGAAATATTTTTTTATCTTACCTCTTTTCTGCTATCGACATTGCATGCTGATTATTCTCACAAGTATCATTATCACACAGGAAAGTTAAAGCCTGTGATTGTTCAGTAATTATGTAAGGATAGGACGAATCAAACACGTCTACTCCTAATTCAACGAGATCCAATACAGTAACTGGATTCCAACAACCCATTGATATTCTCATTTTATCGTTAGGCAGCAAGTTCTATAAAATATAACATAATTACAGCATATTAAAATATTTTGGATCATATAAGTCGTATAATTTTTTAAATTAAAAATGTACTTACGATGGTATATTGTACTACTTGTTTAATTTGTTCTGATGAAATATTCTGTACATCTGGCCCATTATTATGTAATCCATCTATTACAAATCCTGCCAAAGGCTTATCTTTTAGATAATCTATGGATTCTTTCCTAGCTTGCAAGTTATAACCACCCTCTACTGGTCCTAATATTCCTTTCGATTTCAAAATATCCGATTGTAGATGGATATCTAAACATTGTTCTAATAAAGTTTTACTTCGAAGTACTGCCTTTGATATTCGTTTCGCACGGCTATTAATATTTGTATCTCCATCACATAGAGCAACATATAGATCTGGTTTATACGCTTGCACCATTTCCATATATTTATTAGCCGAAACAACGATTCTTCCTGTTCTGGACCAGACAGAAATAGTATCTAACTGCTGAAAGCCAGAGTTCGTAGTATAGGCAGGATCATGTATTGATAAAAAATTTATATATTCCTGCAATCAAATTATTTAATAATCAGTATAACGAAACTTCAATGCATATTGTTAATCCAATAATTTTATTTCTGCCATACCTTCATACTAACAAAATCACCAAAAGAAGTGTCTAGCTCTTTGATAACATCAGTCATCAACATGGTTGAGGGAAGCGAGACAATTAATAGCTGCTCTTCCGTTGTTAGAGTTTTAAAGACATCCTTTGTCAAATGTGGTACACTGCCACCCTAAAAATTATGTTGTAAATTAAAATAGATAAATTTTTGTTGTATGTTTTTATGTTGTAAAAAAAAACGATACACAATTATAAAACAGAAGAATTTTTCATTTCATACCTTGGTATAAATAAGAAGTAAAGGTGTTTCAAAAGAAATATTTGGCAACCTTTCAAATCCACTTAATGTACCGATTCTTGCAGCACAACGTGCTACAGAGTCAGTGAAAAATTTCATTGTTTTATTATAATTTATTTTATGGACTTTCCTTTTCTCTGCTAGTTTCTCACACACACGATATAAATAAATAATTGATGAATACTATATAATAAATATAGATATTGTTAAATTTATTTTCACTAGCACATTTATTAATTAATTTAATATGTTTAATATATTTTTTATTTAATTAATATTAATTAATGGGGACAATTATTTAAAAAGATATATATATCTATGTAGAAATTAATTTGTTTTATAACATGTGAATAGAACATAACCTCGATACAATCTTCTCGAACACATGGGAGAATGAGAAATGAGAGAGAGAGAGAGAGAGAGAGAGAGAGAGAGAGAGAGAGAGAGAGCAAAGAGCAGCAAAATACTGCAAAATTCGCGGTTCTACCAGTCACGCCAGGCCGCCGACAGATGACGCTGTTCACGTGCTGCAAGCGAAGTGGATTGGCACCACTGATGCGCAATATGTGGCGGATCACGGAATGTTTAAAAATTTTTCGCGATCGTTATAATTTTAAAAGTAATGGTTCTCACAAACAGAACGCGATAAAGCTTACCGCGCGGCGAAAGTTAACGCAGTAGATGCGATTATTCTTCCGCTTTTATGGAAAAGCGGTAAACTGATTGTCTCTCGCGCCAATTTCCATCGCGCGGCAAGCGTTGCCGCGTTTGTGTGTGAGAGCCATGAGTGTCGCGGAGTATCATCGGGAGTGTTTCGTGAAATGTTCGTGGGAACGAAAACAAATTCTGCATAATCACTATTACTTGCTATTATTGTGCTCTCGATGCCGGAAGGTACATGCACAGTCGTCGCCAAGTATACGAGGTATATCTCATATAAACTTTTAACTATCCTTTTTACAATAACATTAATTTAACAATCTTACAACAATTTACTGTACTTCGAACTTTACTACCATTTTTGATATCAGATTAGCTCGAATAATATCGAGAGAAATATCAGCAGACTATAAATATTGCGTGGATACAGTATTATCACATATAATACAAATGCGCGACAGTCTCATTAAGTGAGTTTCGTGCGATCGTAGTATTGCTCGATTACCGGTCATTTTCCATAGATTGGTCACATAGAGTTAATTGAGATATGAGAGATATTTTTAAATATATAGTAACTATATATACGTGATAATTTTTAAATACGTATAGTAACGTAATGGTTGTGATTGCGATAACTTCCATGTTATATTAGCCACGATTATTTATAAAACAAATATAATAATAAATTTCGAGATATATACAGACACAAATAAATGTAATAATAATTATATTATGTATATCTTAATTATTTATGCAATGAAATGCATTTTTTTTCTACATTTTTGTAGGTAAATGTATTTAATTCTTAGAAACAATTTTTTTAATTTATTAATTTAAAAAATAGTGTAACTATACTCAGTCGACACAAATTAAGACATAATATTTATTATTTCCATAAGAAATTATATCACTTCGTCAATTATTGATATAAATATAATATTAAAAAACACATAATACATAACATTTATGTTGAATATACGAAATAATTTTGATGTTATATTATTTTTATTTTAATTAACTAGATAATAAATAATTGATTAAGTAATATTATAATTGATAAAGTGATATAATTTCTTGCAGAAATTATTAAAGAATGTCTTGATATATATATATGTGTAACACTGTGATTTGTCTTATTTTCTCTCTCTCTCCCTATTTCTCTCTCTTAAAATTTTTACGATTTGAATTTCTCATTTATTATATTTACACACACATTTCATCTTTCTAATTAATATATTTCATTACTAGGAAACAGATTATGCTAGGAAAAGGTTGATACACGTATCATGAAATAGTTCTTTATTTGTGCTGTACAATTCCAAATTTCAAAGATTACAATCTCGATTATAATCTTAGATTACAGTATATACAATAATAAAATAATGCGTTTCTTTACAATTTGTGATCTTATATACAATTTGTGCTAAATATGTAATTTACATTGGGACGGACCCTCGAAAAGACGTTGAAAATTATTATTGTTTGCAATTTAATCGCAAGAAAATGATCGACATGTTCACATTTTTTTTCTAACAAAATCTAATGATTTTATTAGTATGGCAGGTTTTAGCAGAGGTGAAAGAAAGTTACAAATACACATATCTATATAAAACACTGATTCGAAATTTCTGCCTGCGGGCGATTGCCGGCATGCGCCTTCGTCAGTGTATGAATAGGCAATCAGAACAACATTATTTCTATATTTCATCTTCAAGGATTATGAATAGTTTCTTCTCGCGTGAAATTAGAACTCGAATGATACCTACAACATCGCGAAAAAAGAAGGAGAAAATCCATTTAATATTCGCTATGTATCTTCCTTTCATCGATACTAGATTTCTGCCAGTGATATCGCTTTGCTTATAATATTTTACTGACATATGTACTGACTTTTTTCGGAAGTATCCGATATGCGAACTATAATAGGGTAGCATATAGGGTATCTACCTATCGGCAAGTTTTATCACAATATATAAAATTTCACAACATTACATCTTCTAAATTTTCCATTGTAACTTTTTCTCAGGCAAGAAATGTTGAATGTTCTGTTATTAACGGGATACATATGAAATAAAAAAATTTCAGCATTTTTGCATATTATTTTAAAATAAATTATTGAACGACAAATTTTGCGATAATTTTCTTTATTCAATTATTTATTTTGAAGAGTAAATTTTATTGCAATGTAAATAGTAAATAATAATATAAAAAATTTTTTAACGTTTAAAATTCAAAAGAAAGTATTATCAAAGAATAAATAATATACAAAAAAGTATAAAAATTAATTTATAAAATTGAATGTGTTATGTAAATTTCATATGTATCCTATGGGCAATGACGATTGTAATAAATTCTATTTCGTTGGGTATCAATTATTAATTCGTGCTAGTTACAAAATGTTTTACTTTCGCTTTAACACATCTTTTCATACTTTGAAATTATGAAATAAGATATAATAATATGCTTTTCTAATTTTCATGTTTTCTAAATGACGTGTTGAAATGTTACACAATACATGATGTCGACAATTTGTACAATAATCGCAGGAACGTTTGTATAGCGCACATGGAAAATGTACCGGCCGATTGATAAAATTTTTCCGCGATATATTTGTATATTAAAATACAAAATTATTTCTTTTCACGTCATGTTAATGAATTGAAATTTTGAAGTGATATTTCTTAGATACTCGTTTGCAGAAATAGATTCTTAGTTCAAATTTTTCAATGGCTAATCATTTTTACATAATCGGATCTCATTGCGGCCGGCACTTTGCTTGCGCTACTTAATATTAATACAATTGATTGCCGCCACGTACAGCGGAATGTCTAATTTAATTACGCGTATAATTTACAATATGTATATATACAATATGTGAATTTAATAAAATTTACAAGAGCTGTAGAGATATTTAACATAAGACACATGCATTCGTTACATCAATACGTTACGTGTAAGAAATCGTTGCAACTTTCGCGCGCGTTTGCTGACTGAATAATTATTCATTAAAGTAAAGTGATTAACGATTTCTCTTACACATCATTCATACTTAAAGTCTCGCAATTATGACATAAGACGCACAGTGACTCGTTCGATATGTTGACATTGACTGTGTTCAAAGTACAACTAGATATGTGCATAATCAGGCTTGTTGCGACATAAGGCACTTGCAATACGTGCATGCGCGTGGAATGAATTGCTAGCGGTAACTAATAATTAATAGCACGGATCAATGATCGCGGTCAAGATCGGCAATATTGCAGTGCAATGCTTTACCGCGATCTTTAAAATATTTCGTTGAGAAGAATAATTATAAAACTAGAGCGATTAGGTCATAGGTTAACAATACAAGCACGCTCGCGATCTATACAATCCCTATGATGAAATTTCATATTTTGCATTGGTTTAAGTTTGCAAGAATGCAACATTTTTACATTATGATGAAATTTCGCGAAATTTAAACTCTTTTAAAGAACCCACGACAAAAAGATTTCTTTTATTTTTATGTGAAACATTGATAATTTATTATTGATATAAAAGTATTTTAATTAATTCCAATTTTTAATAGTCTGTACTAATATCCTTATATATTTGCCGAATTATGATTATGATTTTAAAAAGAAAAAAAATTATCTTTTTGATATTTCCGCATTTGCTTATATTGTTTGTAGAATCACAAGTTATATTATTTCTACGTAAAATAAGGAAGAAATGCTCAAAAGACATTCGCAGTTAAATAAATAACAACACATATGATTTCCATAATTATTCATAGTTGTTGAATTATACTTAATACTAATTTTACTCATTATTTGCATAAAAGATATATTCTCTGATTATAAAGCTGATTTCACCTTTTAATATGCAATTCAAAATTAAACATGAGACTTCATGCAATTTTATTCTTATTGTTAGATCATAAAATTAATAAAAATGAAAAAGGTGAAAAATGTCCGAAATCATTGCATATTAAAAATGAAGATTACAAAATGAATGTTAACAAAAGTGTAAAATTGATTAAGTTTTCTTTTCTACGTGTATTCAATCTGAGAAAATAGTGATTTAATTGAACTATACTTATAGCTTATCAATAGGAGAGATACTTTTACATCATTGATTCTGTTTGTGCTAATTTTTTTTATGAAAGAAGATGAAATGTACGTGTGTGTTCCAATTCGTAGAATTCTTAAGATCTTTGCAATTCATAATCGAAATCGACATCACCAATGAAACATGCGTAGGATAAAAATAATATCCCGCGATTCGCGAAGAACAACAGAAACATTCGACATGTAGTGCGTGCATTTTTGCCTGCATGCGCATATATGTGTGCGAACTCTGGTTTGAGGGGCAAGGAGGGATCTATGAAGGGAGAGAAAGGTGCGGGAATCGCCAACACATCTCTCGATATCTCACAGTTCGATCTCTCGAGCCGGCCGCTCGTATATTTACATGTATAATTTATATATCCCATGGTCCG